AAGAATTGCTTGAAACTTTGCCAAATTTTTTTTTTGTGATTGGATGTTTTAAATTCCTAACAAAAAAATTTAAAATTATGTACTTGTATGTATCTTGCCCATTTTCCAATTCAAAACACTCGCCAAAATAGGGTTTAATTAACGCTACAGTCTTTGTTTCCATGGATACAAAAAAGTATATCCTTGAATTATATAATTGCTATTTCACTCGGGGGGGGGGGGAGAAATATTGAGAATCTGTAGTGCTCATTTTTTTTGAGTTAGCAGAGTCATTCTTAATGTGGTTGGTCTGTAATGCATCCTGATATTGATTTTAATTAGTAATTTCAAATCAATTGCACTTATTTGACCCCTCCCCCAAGTCCGTACTTTCTCAACTGTATTTTGTACCAATCTGTTACTTTATTTTACAAAATATAAATATATCAATATTGAACAGACAAATCCATGACAACATCAATGAGTGAATGACATAATAAAATACTGGTAAAAACTGCTATATCACTTTTTCGATGATTACTATTTTAATCGCCTGATTTTGCTCTAAATAATTATTTTACACATTCAAATAAAATCAAATGAGAATTTTTAGGCTTGATTTTTAATAGTAAAATTAAATTTCAGGTCAAATCTAAACTCTAGTTTAATACTTTGTCTCCTACATACAGGAATAACACCCATATAAAACCATATATCAGAAGAAACATACAAAACGAAACAGATCACAATTCAAGTAAAACATTCCACATTATTAAGTGGAGATTACACATACAGACTGATATGCCAAAACTACATTTTTTTAGAATGACATACCTGCATACGTTAGTGATGTCAGCACCGGAATAACCTTCTAGTTGTTCAGCAATTGACGACATGACTACATCGTCCGCTAACGACACCTCACGTAGATTGATTTGTAATAACTGTTCTCTACCTTCAGCTGAAAATAACAAATGAAGACTTATTTAAGGTCAGGTCAGGTCAGGTCAGGTCAGGTCAGGCCAGGAAAGGACAGGACAGGACAGGTCAGGAAAGGTCAAAGGTAGAATTATGTCTGCTGCTAGGTGTATGTAAACACATGCAATTGCAGCTCGATGCACGATGAAAAGAAATATTCAAAATTTGTCAGTTTTCTGATTCATTGTTACTAGTATCAATATCAGCTTCCCATTCATTCAATTTTTTAAGAACGTCCAAAAGTTGTGAATTGTTTATCTGAAGAGCTCCATCACAAGAAATTGCGATATCAGTTAATTATGAAGGGACTACGGGATCAACTTTGAAATAACAGTCACAGGTGGAAAGGACAATTATCTATGATGAGTTTTGCATACTTGAGGGTAATGGAATAAAAATTCTTTTTTCAAGACGCCTTCTCAGTGCTTCATCAATATCCCATGGGAAGTTTGTAGCTGCTAGCACCATCACTTGTTGTGTTGGATCTTCTACACCGGTTGCTCCAGCGACACCTAAGATGAAGAAATGTGTGAAATGCAATTACAATGCAATCTCTCATAAATTACTCCTAGTAAAATCTGTGTTTCTCATACACAATGCATCTCCTTATTGTTACTATGATAGTTACCAGTGTGCTCTAAAACAGTACTGAGTTTGTTGAGCCCAAATGGAATCCCAAAAATCGAGTTGTGTCTTGGAAGAAAAGATTGCATGTGGCTATTGACAACTCCTAAAAGTGCAAAAATCTTTTGGCCCTTGATTTCACTTATAAAATGTGAAAGCAAATTCCTAAACTATAGTAAGATATTTTTCAAGGTAACTTTTTCAATGTATGATTTTCTATTGTCAGTGACACACCAGCAATTTAGTGTGCATAACTAGTTGTGTTGAATAATTTATGTGCATTAGTGACTCCTCATAACTAAGCCTTCTTGTCGGTTTGAAAAATAAACTCACCATCCATCTGTATAAGTAGTTCTGATTTAACACGTCTACTGGCTTCATGTTCATTGGCTGTTCCTCTTTTACTGCATATGGAGTCGATTTCATCTACAAATATGGTACTAGGTGCGTAGAACCTGGCCTAGAAAAATAAACATGTACTGCACATTTAATTTTCACTCGCTAGTTATTTTACTGCAGTGGAAAATCCAAACAGATATATTGGATTTAATGTGCAACAAAAATTGTATTGAATCAGGCACTTTTAGAAGATTTCTAACTCTGCAACTGTCAAATCTTTTATATTGCCAATGGAATTTAACAACAGATTTAAAATTTGTTGATTAAAAAGTAAATTTAATGGATATTTAACTAGCAGATCACAAACAGCCACGCATCAAATTTTATTAAAATTTATCGTTGTAGCACACACACACACACACACACACACACACAAGGTTAAGATCACACATAGGATAAAAATACACCCCCAGAAATCTAAGGTTGTCATGGCAACATGAATGTACATGAATGTCGTAACACTCTCTGGGAAGTTGAAATTAAATAAATCAGGCCTTAAAAGCAAGTGCAATATAAGAGGACATGAACACATTTTGCTGTTGGGTTGGGTTAATAATTCTAGAAATCCCTTAAACGTGAGGGAGGGGCACTTAGTCAATTGTAAGTCAATCACGTATGGTAATAATCACACTGGAAACTGACCAAATTAAGTGTTCATTTTAAAAAAAAAAAGTTTTAACAATGTATGAATTCATAACGTAAGTAATTTAGAACTTTTTCGTCTCCTGTGACTAAGCAAAATTTTGAGATATTAAAGACATACCGGTAATCTCATCATAGAAAACCAGGGAAAAAATATTCAAATTTTGAGCTTTTTTTCCTCCCATGATATTTCTGATGGTGACTATATTTTGTTTTTCATTTTTGGTATTGTGATATATCCTTTATCCAAGTAATAATCAATTTAGCTTGAAAAGTGTCAGTGACAAACTGTAAACATGTATTCTCCGCATTTTAATTTCACTATTTCCAAAGATAAGTTAAATCAAGTACTGTAGAAGACTTTATTTTCGTTGGAATTTATTTTCCCTATTTTCGCTGAAGGGTTGATTCCATGAAAATAAAATCTGGCGAATACTTGTTTTCCTATATTTCACATTCAACTTTCCAAAAATCAGTGAAAATAAATTCCATACAAAACACGCAAAAAGCCTTTTCAGCAAAAAATAATTCCAGCTAAAATAAAGTATTTCACAGTAAATTGAATCCATGTGAACTTGAAATATAAAAAGAACTCACTGTTTTTCTGTCAATTTTGTGAACAAAAACCCAGTTAAATTGCTCAAGGAGGGCAAAATAAGGAAATAAAATGCCAGTGAAAAGAAAATGATTTTACAGACATAAAATGGTAATTACGGGTTAGTTACATTCCAAATGATTGAAGCAGAAAATTTAGTAAGTTAGCGAGACAAAATGTTAGTGGAAACAAATTATGCAAGATTGTGTAATTGCAGAAAAGTGCAGTTATTAAGAAGATAAAACCTCTGGACAATAAAAAAAAAATAGCACACATACACTCACCATTTCAAATAAAATTCTAACAAGTTTTTCAGATTCTCCATGATATTTTGAACTGAGAGAAGATGAACTGACATTAAAAAATGTGGTACCACACTCAGTAGCTACAGCTTTAGCTAAGAGAGTTTTTCCCGTTCCAGGGGGTCCAACCATCATGACTCCCTAAGAGAATAATAACAAATAAAAAAAGTATAAAAGAACATACCATTTCAAAAAGAAGGCGGACCAGTTTTTCTGACTCCCCTCTCCATTTTGACGTGAGGGTGGAAGACGAGACATTGAAAAATGTTGTACCACATTCTGTAGCGACGGCCTTGGCCAGTAAAGTTTTTCCTGTGCCAGGTGGGCCAACCATTAGGACTCCCTAGTAAAGGTAAAAATTTGCAAATACAATTTGCTATAAACTTTGGACATTTTTTACGATAAACAGATAAAAACATGGACTGACACAGAAAGTGGAATTAGAAACTGTCATCACATCATGATGTAATAGTTTAAAGAACAATTTAAAGCCGCATTCCCACTGTTTTAGCTAAAAAACATGATATTGTAAAAGTAGAAATCCTAGTCACACTTGCCTGCTCATTTCATTTTGAGAGTAGTGAAGGATGTTATCCCTTAGACATACAACAATGTAACTGACTTTTAAGGATAAGCAAAGGCCTCTAAACTCAGTGAGTGTCTATTTAAGAGACTTTCCTAAATTCATATTAATGCAGTTAATTTCTCCATTACCCATCCACAATCTTAACTTGGATGATAGATGGCAGTAGATGGTATCTTACAGATTTGCAAAGTGGAATACAGCTTTAAGGCAATATGATCTAAACAGGCAACATAAAACAGAGAGTAGGAGCTCTTTTGGACATATAATTGTTTATACTAATGATTTGGGCAAAATAGGGCACATTTATTCAGACAAGCTGCAATTAATTTATCCAGAAAACTGGGAGCTAAACAGCATTTGAATCTCAAAATGACAACCAGCATTTTCAAGAACACAAACAGATATTATACAGGGACTACTTTGTGGCAATCTAATTAAAATCTGATGTAGTGTACAGGCTTTACTTATTTTGGCTATAAACTTATTTTAATTTTATTTTTTATTACTTTTGTTACTAATGCCTTTTCATTTTATTATTTTACTTTGATTTTGTGTTTTTTTTTAATTCCGCCCTACATACATCTGACCCGATGCCTATGTAACGTGATTTCAACGAGACCCACTATCGACGATTTTAGTCAACGAATCACAGACCTCCTTCTATAGCGCACATGATGACGTCACCGGGCAGAGTCAGGTGGCAAACACACTAAAATAAAATGGCGGATTATGCCGACGTTAGCTTTATGGCTTTTCGGCAAGTTTATCATTGTCAAATGCAACGAAAGGCATTTTTTTATGTTTATATTGTGGCTCGAATGGTTCGAGTTTAGATCGTTATTTTGCGTAGTTATTCTGGGAGTGACGATTTTGTTTCCACCAGTTCGACCGAACACCGGTGTTTTTTTCCAGTCGCTTGCCCTGGAGACAGGTGATGTTTTGTTGACGATCAGGCCAAAATCATGATCGTCCACAGTATTGAAGCCGTAGCTGTAAATATTCGTCAAAATGTATCAACAATTTCTGGTGAAGATGTATCAGGAAGTGTACACATTTGTTGGAAGTGAACAAAATATTCAATGTAATGACAAAAATTGTAAAATGCTGTGGAATTTCTTTTGTGAATAAAAATATACTAGCAATTTTCTATTAATGGTTTATTCAAGTGGGCAAAATATAATGTACAGAAAGATTGCCCGTAGAGTATTGCTACACTGAAATGTAAGCAACCGACAGCCTGTATAAAAGGGGGGCTGTGATTGGCTGTTACTTACGCAAGATTTGAACGGGACTTACATAGGCGTCAGATCAGATGTATGTAGGGCGGAATTAAAAAAAAATCAATGTAAAATAATCAAATAAAAAGGCATTAATAACAAAAGTAATAAAATTAAAAATAAGTTTATAGCCAAAATAATTAAAGCCCGTACACTACATCAGATTTTAATCAGATTGACTTTGTGGTAGATGACAATGGAGTGAAATAGTAATTAACATTTTATAATACCCATGACTGTATCACCTACCTTCCAGTCTACGAATACCTTTAAAGAATTCTGGCATAATTAACGGCAAGACTACGGCTTCTTCTAGCAGTCTCTTTGCTTCACCCAGACCTGCAATATCACCCCTAAATAAGAAAGTACGAGTTAGTGTCAGATGTTTTTTTTATCTTGCGAAATATGTAAAATAATTCAACTTTGGCACTTTGCGGAGTGTGGAGTTTCTATGTATTGGGCTTGATTACTCACCTTGTTTTATTTCCATCCATGTATTCAACCAAATAAATAGAGATGAAAAAATCATCACAATATTTTATTTCAAAAGGGTAACATACTGTACGGTTTAGACAAGTTTACAGATTTATTTATCAAATTTAAAACATTGATTTTTTTAGAAAAGCTGTCTCCAAAGATGCAAATTTTGAACATTCAGGAATCTGTGTTTAAACGTTTTTTCCATGAAAAATAAATAGTAAAAATCAGGATGTCCTAATAATCGTATATGAATTTTTTAACAAATGTAACAAAACAAACTTTTGAGATATGATGAGAACTTTTTTTCAAGGAATCAAAGGTAAATGGTTATAAAATCGCTGTTTTCATTGATCATGTTTGACCTGTGTTTTGCATAGAAAGTGTTATATACATTTTTACCTGAATTTTGTGAAAAAATTAACAGCATAAAATTAAACCATATTGTAAAAGTCAAGGAAAGGTGATCATGATCTGTTATAATAGTGGCACAGTACCGTAAAACATAATTGAATATCCCTGCAACATCAAATCTCGCTATACTGTAAATGTTTCTTCTTCCTACATTACATACTTTTCAGGAGACGTACTTACCAGTGTACATTGGGGTTTCTTTGTACAATGTCTCTCTCTAAATTCTCAACTAAATCTTTATCATAACCTGTGGGGTCAAACTTCTTCTCATCGCCTTCATTGGATGGACTGCGCTTTTCCTGTAAGAATAATCATTATTATGCATACGTATATATAGATACAACAATCAGTATCAAGAAATTAAAAGCAAAACAGCAAAGCAAGATTTCAGAACTGATAATTTACCAAAGCCTTAGGATTAGATAGACTAGTATTATTTTGTGCGAATTCTCAATCTTGATAATGTGAATGAAAGTAACTCCTCAGTTAATACAGGGAATTTGTTTTGGACTCTCCAAATTCACAAAGGATTATCTCTCGCAGAAGGCTCCCATACTTACTTCACATTCCATTTGATGTCGATGTACATAGTTATACGAAGACACAAGCAAATTTCAAGCCAATATTTTTATAGGATTATGTACAGATTAATTTTTAATTATTAATTATTTATTTTAACTATTAACTTTATATATGCTGCAGACTGTGAATGAAACTTACCTTATCACTTTTACCGCTTTTCCCTCTGTCTCCACCTCCTCGTCCCCTGTCCCGATCTCGATCTCCCCCACGTCTATCAACATTACCATAGGATGGTCCAGGTTTACCTTGTGCAGCCGAACGACTAGGAGGGTTACGATGTGATGACGGTTTGTGTTCTTGACGATGTGATGGTTCTTTACGAGCACCACCACGATACTGTGGCGAGGGCCTGCGAACAAGCACATGGCAGTTAGGTACAAGGATCAAAGAATTAGTCAATCAGTGCACAAACTTTCAAATAACATAGTTGAACTCTGGTGACCTTGCCCTTTGTTATATAATATAATTCCCTTTATCATAGTTTGTTTCAATATAAATATGCATTGTCATAATTAATTTTGAATACAAACAAGTTTTGGGGTTGAACCAACAGTGGGGAATCAATCTACCGAATGTCCTTAAAAGATGTAAATATCTTACAAAAACATTGGTGCCTTATTTGTTTAATTATTTTAAGGGACATAATTTCCAGCTTTCTTCAAAGTAATTCAGATATTTTAGTATAAAAACAAATGTCTCATTGAAAAAAAAAGTGCTGCATTTAGATGTGAATAGATTCATAAAACATGCAAGATAACAGAAAATTTTAGCTGGCTTTAGTCCAAGTATTTTGTACAGGTGTCTGTCAAAAATTAATGATTCACTGAGACAAATATGAACTGCCTCATTGTGTGACTACTGTATTATATGAAAAGTAAAAAAAAACACCCTTTATGAATAGCTATCATGTTGCAAGCTCTGCTTTGTATGCAAATCAACTTAAATAGTTAGTTGGTGTCCAGTGGATGGAGAAGTCAACAGTACTGGTGCCTCCTGAGAATCTACATCTTCAAACACTGCAATCTTTGAAGTGCGTTTTTAAACTAGTATTATAAAAACTCTATCATTCTGTTCTAATAGCTGAAACATATTCCTGTGAATTTTCATTTGTCAAATGAACTGTTTGTCAAATACAGAATACATATATTTTAGAATAATTTTCTTTTTAAAATGTGGATGAAATGTTTTGCTTTTAATGTATTTTTTATGTATTGTTTTTGATTTGATAACTTTGAACTAAACAGATTTTCTATTAGCTTCAGATCTTGATCAAAGTTGGCACCCAGTTCATAGAGTGCTTATATTGATTTTCTGACATCTTGTATTTCTGTAAAGATTTTATTGGTAGGTTTGCAAATGTGTATCAGACTGTGCAATCTCTCCATAGTTGGTTTTGAAACCCAGTATGGGATTCTGAGATACATTACCAAGGATATTATTACAAGATAAATCATTTGCTTCATTGAACACATACAACATTGCATATTTCCACTGAGATCAGTGACCTTTGATGTGTATCACCAGTGATCAGTCAAGTAGAAACAGTCAAAATATTTTATCAGATTTTCTCAATTTTTGCATGATATTTTCATACAGGACATCTGTTGTTCAAACTCAGGGAAGACTTTACACTGATGAATAAGGTGACCAAGTTTGATAAAGTTTGGAATAGAATTAGTAAAGTTATTATGCACACAATAACAATTATTAACGACGACGACAACGACGACAACGACGACGACGACGACGACAACGCCGGACAAAATTTTTCCCTTAATATACCTTTCCCTTCCATCTTTGATGGTACGGGCAAGGTAAAAATGTCATTTGTACACATGGTGAAATAAAACCCATCCTCTTGTTTGATTTTTTTCCACCTGTAAATAGTTTTTCGAATTGTAATACACCAAGTTGATAAAATGCATGTTTTCATGAGAATGAACACCATGGAAACAATGTCATATTGATGAGGGGGAAAAGTCATATATATGTCTCACCTTCCTAACAACCCTCTTGAATTGAGAGCCCTGATAGGCCCGAGTTGGAATGCTTCCTCTGCAACACCACCATAGTCCAGGGAAACACGACCAGTTCTGATGAACAAACAGAATTGGTCATCACCATATATTCTCTATTAGTGCATACACTAATATGTAAACAACTGGGGTATATTAGAGTCATATTTTAACAATAAATCCAACATACGATAAATGCAATTAAGAACTGTAAAGGTATAACAGCTCTGTAACAATGTCAGTCAGGTTAATTTGAGAACACTGTTAAGGTTTACGTCACAGCCGAAATTTCACAACGGAAATGTCAACCCTCTATACATGTCCGTACTCACTGTACTAATAAGCATGCATTCATTATGTATTAGCCAGCTGCATTTGTAACCCATCAGCCTCTCAATTTTAAAGGAAACATTTTATTCCTTTTTTCTATTTTTCCCCTGTTCTTTGACAATTTTGTCAAATAATAATCCCCAAATCATCCTTTTAGCATATTTTTGACAGGCACTTTCAAATTCCTAGCTAATGCCTTGATTAATAAAAATTCACACTTGCCTTTTACACAGATGATGACTGCAATCTACCAATATTTTCATACAGTGTATGCAACAAGTGCCATTCCAAGCAAAGCTAGGGGGCCCAGCTGATAAGAAATAGACAGAAATTTAAACATGTTTTATACATTTCAAAATACATCATATTTAACATTGGTGACTTTATATTGAGAACACTCTTGCAGTAGTAATTGTAAGCAGACACTGGATGTGTATTCAAATCCTTGGTAATAACTGTCATTACATGCAGTATACATCTGTCACCGTAACGCCATGAATTATAAGCTGATGTATTTTTTGCGGTATAAACAATTATACATTTGTTATGCCATAAGATGCAGCGTGCCATATTTTGCGGTATTGCATTGGGTATTTGCATCCTACCATATTAGGAAATGCAAATTCCAAATATGGAATGATTACGCATGTAAGCATCTTCTAATAATAAAAAAACAAACATGGTAGACTGTCAATAGTCCTCAGGCCTAATTTGTTAGCACACTAAATCAGCAAACGCCTTTGGCAACAGGCATTTCAGTGAAGACCGGAGGCCTGAGGACTGTTAATGCTTGTAAACTTGACATTACATGGTTTTCCACCAATACATGCATGAGCTGTCAATTATTCTCTGTTCAGTACCAGTAGAA